CTCATTGAATTTGAAACTAGCACTTTATTAGTTCCAGTGTAAATATTTTGAACTCAAGGTGGAGAGCATGGAATGCTAAGTTATTGGCTAAATCCTGCGAACTTTGTTAGCAAGCTTCATTCATAAACTGTACGTTTGCAACAGGCAGACAGACCTACATAATAATTGTTGCTTAGTAACAAGCACCAACACCACCATTATGCTACAGCTGCCCATGACACATGCCAATCAAACTCACCCACTGAACTGTTTTTATGGAGGAGATTGGGGATTGACTCACTTTAGGAGAACCTCATTTGAGGAGATGCAGTAATTGGTGCTTGTGCACAGGTCAAAATGTACAGTTACTGAATCACAGTGATGTCATGCATGTTAAAATGGTAAAAAGTATGTGAATATGCTGACTCGTGTTGTGATATAGTTTTGATGGAGGCAATTTTTGGCTCTAGAACTGCAGACTGACAGTTTCTGTTGCTGAAAACGAGACATCCCACAAACCTGACCGTCCTGACTGGATTTAGCAGGATTTAGCTTCTTCTGTTTTCTTTAAAGTTTAGTACAGCACTGATTTATGCGTTTCACACAGCAGCATTCATTTCTAAGGATTTCCCTGGAAATCAGACAGACACAGTCCAGAGAAGCAGACTCACTGCTGACTGAACTCGATCAGTAAACAAGCCACTTTTGTAGTTTCTCATTTATCAACTGAGGGCTTTGTTTGAAAGACATATCTGCAGCCAAAGAGCTGGAGGTACCGAGAACACCGCTCAAAGGTCTCGATACGAGTATTTAAAACTAGAAGTCTTACACATATATACTGGATTTGTGAGGGATATTTTCTTTTGTTATTAGTCTGTACTCTGGTATTGTAGACATTATAAAGACATTATAAAGTTTCAAAAAAATCTGCTCACACAGAGATTCTTCCATGAAATTAGATTTCTGGCCACCTCAGAAACCGGGTATTAGGGTAAAAGACTAACTGAACAAGTAATGGCTGGTTGAGTCGTGATAGCTGGCGCTCAAGTCTCGCTGTTTCATCCGACAAAGTGAATGGTTAGAAGTGATTTCAACCTGATCTCAAACTTGGTACTTTTGGTACTTGGTATCAAAGTTCAGGAGACCTTTTATCCAATATGACAGAGTCTGTGGAACTCTTTTTGACATTTTCTCTAGTGAATTCATTTCATTAATTTTATTTCTGTCTGATCATAGCAAAACAAGCAGTATTTTCCAAAAACAATGAAAAATACTAATAGATAAATAAAATAAACAACGAAATAAAAAATAACCCTGTTATATTTCAGACAGAAAGGGTTCAGGGAAAAGCAATTGCTTATATGTTGCTGTTTTTTTAAAAAGAAAATATAAAATAGCTATTAAATGCAATTTGGCAGGTCAAAAATTATATATAAAAGATTGGATTTATAAAGCGCTTTAAATTACAATTCCACTATTCATTCACACACTGGTGGAGGCAGCTACAGTTGTAGCCACAGCTGGGGCAGACTGACAGAAGCGAGGCTGCCATATCGCGCCATCGGCCCCTCTGAAGTGTATTGCCCAAGGACACAACAACCAAG